ATTTGGGGATCCTCTGCCATTCCTCCTTGCAGATCCTCTCCAGTTCTGTCAGGTTGGATGGTAAACGTTGGTGGACAGCCATTTTTAGGACCCCCCAGAGATGCTCAATTGGGTTTAAGTCAGGGCTCTGGCTGGGCCATTCAAGAACAGTCACAGAGTTGTTGTAAAGCCACTCCTTCGTTATTTTAGCTGTGTGCGTAGGGTCATTGTCTTGTTGGAAGGTAAACCTTCGGCCCAGTCTGAGATCCTGAGCACTCTGGAGAAGGTTTTCGTCCAGGAAATCCCTGTACTTTAAATGGAAGACGTTTGGGATGATCAGAACCCTTCCTAGAGCTGGCCGTCCGGCCAAACTGAGCTATCGGGGGGGAAGAGCCTTGGTGAGAGAGGTAAAGAAGAACCCAAAGATCACTGTGGCTGAGCTCCAGAGATGCAGTTGGGAGATGGGAGAAAGTTGTAGAAAGTCAACCATCACTGCAGCCCTCCACCAGTCGGGGCTTTATGGCAGAGTGGCCCGACGGAAGCCTCTCCTCAGTGCAAGACACATGAAAGCCCGCATGGAGTTTGCTAAAAAACACCTGAATAAGATTCTCTGGTCTGATGAGACCAAGATATAACTTTTTGGCCTTAATTCTAAGCGGTATGTGTGGAGAAAACCAGGCACTGCTCATCACCTGTCCAATACAGTCCCAACAGTGAAGCATGGTGGTGGCAGCATCATGCTGTGGGGGTGTTTTTCAGCTGCAGGGACAGGATGACTGGTTGCAATCGAGGGAAAGATGAATGCGGCCAAGTACAGGGATATCCTGGACGAAAACCTTCTCGAGTGCTCAGGACCTCAGACTGGGCCGAAGGTTTACCTTCCAACAAGACAATGACCTTAAGCACACAGCTAAAATAATGAAGGAGTGGCTTCACAACAACTCTGTGACTGTTCTTGAATGGCCCAGCCAGAGCCCTGACTTAAACCCAATTGAGCATCTCTGGAGAGACCTAAAAATGGCTGTCCATCAACGTTTACCATCCAACCTGACAGAACTGGGGAGGATCTGCAAGGAGGAATGGCAGAGGATCCCCAAGTCCAGGTGTGAAAAACTTGTTGCATCTTTCCCCAAAAGACTCATGGCTGTATTAGATCAAAAGGGTGCTTCTACTAAATACTGAGCAAAGGGTCTGAATACTTAGGACCATGTGATATTTCAGTTTTTCTTTTTTAATAAATCTGCAAAAATGTCAACAATTCTGTGTTTTTCTGTCAATATGGGGTGCTGTGTGTACATTAATGAGGGACATTTTTTTTCTTGATTTTAGCAAATGGCTGCAATATAACAAAGAGTGAAAAATAAGGGGGTCTGAATATATATATATGTAACCACTATGGATAAGTCTGATCTAAATACTGCTGTGCAATATAATGTTCTTAGGGGTTTCTTTCTCAATTCAACTTAACCTTTGGTACATTTTTCCCTTTTGTGAAACATATAACTTGAGTTTTAGCTACAGATAATCTGAAGCTCCAATTATTTGCCCATTCTTCCACTTTATCTACTGCTTTTTGTAATTTTTGAGACACACATGCAATATTACGTCCTCTTTTCCATATTGCCCCGTCATCAGCAAATAATGTCCTTCCAATATCACCTTTAAAATTACTAGAAATATCATTAATCATAATATTAAAAAATATTGGGCTGCATACACTTCCTTGAGGAGTTTCACTGTCTATTGTGTGTCCATTGTATTCCGACCAGCCCTAAATCCACTCTGATATGGCGATATAAGACCTTTTATTTCCAATATATAATTTAGTCTATGTATTATCCTTTTTTCCATCAGTTTACATAAATTAGAAGTTAATGCAATTGGCCTATAATTAATTGGATTGGATTTGTCCTTTCCAGGTTTGCCTACTGGTACTATTATTCCATGTTTCCACGAAGAAGGAATCTTTCCTGCATTCCATCTCTTGTTAAAAAGATTTTAAATAATTTTTAAAGATCTATCTGACAAATGTTGAATCATTACATAACATATATCATCTCTTCCAGGAGATGCATGTTTAACTCCCCCTAGAGCCATCTTTAGTTCATACATAGTAAATTCTGCATCTAAAGTGTCTCCAGAAGGACTTCGTTTCATCATCACATCTGGGTGCTAATTCTTGTTCTGGATTCTACACTTTTTAATATGCTCCGATACATTATCATCACTACGGACTTTAACAAATACTTTAGCCAGCATTTCAGCTTTTTCATTATCAGTCACAGCTATTCTTCCTTCATCATTTATTTTAAAACTGGAAGAGTTTGATTTCTATAAATTCCTCCCATTTTCCTAATTGATCCCCATACTTTACTTATGTCAATACCTTCTCCTGTTGAATTACACCAATCTCTCCAGTACTTATTTTTAGCTGCTCGGACTATTCTTCTTACTTCAGCTTGCGCTTTCTTATATTTAATAAAATCTTCAAATAAATTTATCTTTTTGATTTTTCTGAATGCTTTATTCCTATTATGGACCACATTACTACATTGTTCTGTCCACCAAGGAACTGCTTTCCTCTTTTTACATGGTCCCTTTTTTCCTATAATATTATTAGTTAGATCATACAATACTTTACATATTTTCCCATTACATTCATCTATGTCTTCCATCATATTTAGTTCTACTGCTGTTAGTTCTACCTCACTTAAATATGTATATGCTTCCCAGTTTGCTTTATTAAATCTCCATCTTGGAGCTAAAATCCCATTATGTTCTATTACACTCATCTCTACCTTACATAAAATTATATAGTGATCACTACCCATATTATTATCTTCCCAAACATTCCATACACATTTACTTGCTATATCTTCAGAAACCAATGTTAAATCTATAGCTGACCCAATACCACGTACCAAATCTATTCTTGTGTTTCTACCATCATTTAAACATACTAACCCATTACAGTCTATTATTTATTCTACAACATCCACACTATGATCATCCTTACTGCTTCCCCATAAAGTGCTATGTGCATTAAAATCTCCACACCAAATTATTTTATGATTTCCTGACCCAATAACCTTTTCTAAATCTTTACTTAATCTACTACAAGGATTATAATAAATTATTATTCTGATATTTTGTTTCTCTGTATTATACATCTATCACCACCACTTCATATTCTTCAATCTCATTAATGACTCTGTATTCTAATTCATTTTTTATAAAAGTGGCCACCCCACCTCCATTACCTGTCTTTCTATCTTTTCTTACAATATTATATCCTTGCAGAACAAAATTTAATTTAGGTTTTAACCATGTTTCTTGTACACAAATTATGTTTGGTTTCTTATTTAATAGATCTATAAACTTTTTAAATTCTGGTCCATTTGAAATAAGACTTCTGGCATTCCACTGCAGAATCGTTAAAAGCATTATTATTATTATTATGTAATTCCACATGTTGTTTGAGTTCTAGATTGAGTCTTTAGCATGTCATTTATTTTTTTCCAACGATACACCTGCTACATTCAAGTATCTATCAGCTGCCCTTATTATGGTTTTAATTCTCTCCGTTCTGCTTTCTGTTTGAGCAGAACAATTTACCACTTCAGCCATAAATCATATACATGATCACCCCCACATCTCGCACAACGTTGTCTTCCTCTGCAAACTGCACTAACATGTCCATACTTCTGGCACTTGAAGCATCTAAGTGGAGAAGGTACGTATGGACTTACTGGGTAACTTACATAGCCTATTTTTACCCTCTCCGGCATTCTTTCTTCATCAAACTGAAGCATAACCGATAGACTGTCCATCCTTTCTTTATTTCTCACATATTGAAGCCGTTTTGCTCCAATTACCTTCCCCCTTCAATGCAACTTTTAATTTGATCAGCATGTACATCAGTAGGAATTCCAGTTATTACGCCTCTAACCCAAGGCTTCGTCTTCATCAATGTGCATGATCCCAGGTATCCAAGCATCGGATTTATACTTAGTGCCTTATTTTGTTGTTTTTCATCCTTACACATGATAATCAAGTTTCCATCTCTAAGAGTCTTTGCACTATTTATTTCTCCTTACGCTTTATTCAGCGATTTGGTCAGTTTAATTGGGTTTATCGTCATACCAGGTTCTGCAAATTTCATCATTACTTTGTATTCCTCTATATTTTTCCTACTCACGTAATCCTCCTTTCCACTATCCGTAAATTATCCTTGACTATTGTTTTTCTTCTCCTCCTGCACTCCCGCTACACGATTCGTCTTCCATTTCCGGATCACTACCAGAGCTACCGTCATTTCCTGCCATCTTCTTCTTCTTTCCAGTTTAACGGCGGTTGGCATCCAGCTTATTGGTGCATTACCGCCCCCTTCTGCTCAGGAGTGTGGATCAGATAATAGGTGATCTATTCCCTTTTCCCACTAAAACTTACACATCACTCACATTGTCCCCTCACATTAATATCCACACACACATCATACATCAAATCCATTTCCTGCCATCATTTCCTGCTCTTCTTCTTCTTCTTCTTCTTCTTCTTCTTGCTTTACGGGGGATCGCTGACTTATAAGTGCATTACCGCCACCTATATCTCAAATGGACCATTGACACTCTATCTACAATCTTCTGATTAACCTACCAACCCACATACAAACACAACAAGGACCTAATTTTAATTTTGACATTTCACGAGGATTAAATAAATTATCGCAATCCTCCAACCACTAACGGAAACGTCCAAGGCACAAAGCCGTCACTTCCTTAAACCGTGTACAGGTTTTACGGTCTATCGTTTTTCTATACGGGCGGGGCCGGGGTCTTAAACCTGAATATACACACCAACTCATGGGGACTTGTGTCCCCATGGGAACAGAAGCTTATAAATCATACAGAATGTTTTCTGTGAGGGGTAGGTTTAGGTGTAGGGCGATAGAAAATACAGTTTGTACAGTATAATTACGCCAATGGGGAGTCCCCACAAGGATAGTGCACCAGACTGTGTGTGTGTGTGTGTGGAGGGGGAGGCGCTGGGACGCAATTGGTGCTCCGCTCTCGGTGTCTGCTCAGGTGTGCTTGTGTCAGAGGAGCATTGCGGAGCTGCAGGCAGAGCAGAGGAGAGACGGTCATGTCAGACAGCGTGAACGCACAGTCGCAGGACGGAGGATCCCACGGCGAGGACAGGACTAGCCGGGACACAAGCCCGCGTGTGGGCAACAAAGTGACCGTGGTGCTCGGAGCGCAGTGGGGCGATGAAGGGAAAGGAAAGGTGGTGGACCTGCTGGCCCAGGACGCTGACATGGTCTGCAGATGTCAGGTTGGTTTATGAGGACTGTAGTGCTTGAATATGTGAATATATCTCCGGTGGGCTGTGTAGTTATTACGCGCGGTGTAACCTACATCATCCACACGCTTGTTTGGAAGGAAATATTCATGGCTGATCAGAGAGTAGTGAATGCATGTTAAGTGCTGTGAAGGCTTGTGAAGTATGTGATTATAGGACTTGTTTGCAGGCCAGTTCTTGGCAAGCAGTTAGCTGCGTATTATTACAGCGGAAACGGACGTTACAGCGCGCGTCTACGCGCTTCCATTACAATCAACTACGCTGTCTGCACGCGAGCGACGTCGATTATAATGCCGCGTACTGGTTTAGCTTCGCTAGCAGTGTACCCTGTAGTGTGTTTGCAAATGTCACCTTGACTGAATTGTGTGATATTGAAGCCAGCGTGATGTTTGACCCAAGGCCAGCCCAGGGTAGCCTCAAATCTTACCAGATGTCATTTAGTACATCAGCTAATGTTGAAATATCCGGGATGTTTAGCAAAGGATGTAAACACGGGCGCAGGACTCCTTTGAAGGCTATGACGCCGAAGGTGTTGCATTTATGAGTATTACAGTCAAACCAGATGTTGTAATTGTTAGTAATTAAAATAATAGTTGATAATAGTACTGAACATTAACCTCCAGCTACTTAATTTTCCGCAGTTGTCTCATGTGCCCATGTGTTATAAATGTGCACAATCCTGCAGCTCACTGATTCTTCAGACGTGATGTCCTACAACTTAAAAAAAATAACAACATTTATAATTTCGACAATTGCTAGAATGCTTTTATAGATTGAA